TCAACTTAAAAAATGTAAATGCAATGTCAATAGTTATCGTATGTCTTCTTAATCCCCGTTCCTTTATTGTTCTCGCTCCTTAATGTTTTTCCCTTATGCTATGTCACACTCAGTAACCTCTCTCATCTTAGTGGCTTTATTGCCCTGTTTGGAGTGAAATGATAAAAAAAACCCAACACTAGATTATTGAATTGGACTAATTACGCGAGAACTTTGTATTATTTTGTATTTTAATCAAATAATACTTGACCGGTTACGAGGAACAAGATCTGATTATAGACGATAAAATTTTTTTTTGCTATAATGACCTATTCAATATTAACCAGATAATTATAGCCTTAACATATTCTATTTTGGTGAACACTCATAGTATGTCGTCTTGTGGGTGTAATTAAATGAACGAATGTCTGTCAATCAAAATGAGACTTTTTCTCAACTGAAACTAGTTACAATATAAATATTTACAGCGGATTTTCATACTAAACGACTATGTTGGCTTTAACAATAAAAGCTCAGTTTGAGATTCTTCCAAAAAAAAAAAAACAGCAAATACAGGATACCGAACAAATAAGGACATTTGCTTTCTCAATGGAATTCACACAGGACGTGAAAAAATGTTGCCGGAAGTCATTGATAAATGAATACATTTACATGTCAAGACGCACATCCCTCAAAATATATTACAACACACGTACTTACATATACAAAGGAGGCACGGTGGAGTAATGGATAGCAGCTTGGATTGAGGAATCGGAGAGTCGAATCCATTACATTCACGTGCTAATACCCTTGGAAAAGTTATGAATCCTCTTCTTCTCCTCCTCCCCCACCCCCGGTTGTGGGTAAATAGCAGGACAAACCAAGTAGCAACTGGTCGAAAGGAATGGCAACCTACTGTGGGAAAAAAATTGCCTCGTCAGTCATGTATCGAAAGTTACAAGATCGCCTAAGCGTGTATCACGTATAGCACATAACGGACTTAAATATACAGGAACCCACATGCGTAATTTTGTGTAAACATAAAATCATCTGAGTGTTATTTGAATTGTAAGAATTATTGTATTTTATTAGCATTGGGTTAAAGATTTCGTAAGTTTACTATTCAGGGAAGCATTCATGTGATGTCCAAAATGAAAAAAAACAAAAAAAAAACAACAATTAATTTACATTTGAGTCATAACTTTTTAGCACTAGAATTTACAAAAGAGTAAAATAATAAAAGTTAAACAAATAAATTTACCACGGTATTAACAAATAAAAATATATATATAAAGAATAAGACTGATGACATCTTACTGTGTGTGGAAAAGTTATCATCACTATTTTTGTTGAAAAACGGTTTTTACTTTAACATGCACCTCATATATTAATCGAAAGACAACATAATAAATTGTTGTTTTTAATGTAAATTTATGATTGAGATTATTTTATGATCTTTTATTTGTAAATTTCGTTAAGTAGATATTTATTTATTTCAGTTGTGTTTTGCCTGAGTAGGGAATATTGTTCGGGATCTCTTGAATTCTCTGGATCCGCGGAAGCTGTTGTATTATTTGTCACTATAAGATTTACACAACCATAATTTTTCAATTCCCATAATTCTACAAAGACTCTGAATGATCTTTAAAAAAATTCGGTAACCCACTTATATTTTGAAAGTTGTTTTTCCAAATGTTAGTGCTACTTCTATTTGATAAAAACAGTTTATTATTCCATGGGTTCTGTGGACCAGTAATCCATTCATTTTGCTTTCAATACAAGCTTTTATTTAATCAATTCTCAAGTCATCTGGAAAACATAACAAATGACACATTATTTTCAGAAAAAAAAAATAGACAAAACCTTGAACAAAGCTTTTGAAAAAGTTATTTGATAATATAAATGTTAAGTTTATTTTTAAAAAAATGACTTTTTTCTTCACTTTTTCATTATTTTATGTATTAAGTTATAACATTTTTTAACCCAAGTTTTCCAGATAATCGAGGAAATTCTGTAGTTAGTACATCGTCTCTCACATCTTGCCTTGTAAAGTACATGGCTTGAAATTATTAAAAACGTTGAATTTAAAATAAAAGTAAGAGTATTCATTCGATCCTTCACTGAGCTCAACATTACATGTTTATATTTGTTTCGATCAACACAAACAACAGCGGAAATAAAAAGAAAAGTTGGATGATCAAAGAATCTGCAGCATCCTCATGCTTTCACTTCCCGTCCCTCACCCCACATCGAGAACCAGTCATCGTGCTACGTAATAATACGCAGATGGACTTGTCATACAACAATTTGCTTTTATTGTTATGAAATATTTTAGATGAAAACAATTCCAGGAAGTCTCCTCTTGAAGACAGTAAAAAGAAGGAAACACCAGAAAGCTTCAGATTTGCTTCAGGTACCATTGGAAAATAAGATGGAAATATATGACAAAGACAACGTTTATTTTACAAGTATGTAACAACAGGAGAACTTTCATCATTTTGAGATCAGTACTTCATCTTTAAAGTATTATTTAGATATTCTTCTTCTTCTTCTTCTTCTTCTTATTATTATTATTATTATTATTATTATTATTAGATGTGTTATTATTGGCAGTGTAACGCTTATCGGCGCAGAATAAGAAGCCGGCATATTGAGTTCATATTCCGACCGAGTCTGTTGTTTTCACTTTTACACCTGAAAACAGCATGAATTCATCTCTTCTACTCCCAGCTTTGGGTTAAACGGCAAGGGTAGATTGGGCCCTTTACCTTTGGTTCGTAGACAGTCTAGAAGAAGGACAATTCTGAATTTCATACCGTGTAGAAGGAAACAGGAAACTACTACATTATTGTTCCAAAGAAGGTGTTTCAATTCACATATAATAAATAAAAAGATTCTATGGAAAGCCAATGTGATCTACATTCTGAAGAGACATGTCCTTAAAAATATTATTATTGGGTGTTAATAACGGCCTTATCCAATGGCTGTAGTTGAAGATCAAGTAACAAGAAGTTTCTACATCTCTCCAACAGCACTCTTGTCGATCTTTCCACTGAAGTAGTCTCTTAATTTCAACACTCTTTTAAATTATTATTTTTTTTCCAACATCATGGCTTTCAAATAAATTAAATATGAAATACTTATGTTCAAATAGAAAAAAAGGACACAGTTATCACACATATAATTGGTCAGTTTCATTCTTACTCGATGTGAGACAAAAATAAAAAAGATAAAATATTTTTCTTATTCGTATAATACAAGTCTCACAGTCACAATAAACATAAGCATTTCATTTTGCCCGTCTGTCATGATACAAAGTGATACAAAGACGACATAGGATTAGAGTTAATCTCTGATGTTTGCAGAATCTCAGTAGATAGTGGCAATGGAACTGAGTTATTTCCATCCTCTGCACCTATGGATCCATGTACCCACTAAAAAAGGTCTTATTCCATATTCCGTCTGTGAGAGGTCGAATAAATAGTCATATCAATACAAGTCACGCACAAAATAGTAATAAAACACATTGTATTATAGAATGAATTATCTCCTTTGATGTGCACTTTCGGCCATGTGTTTTCCCTTATTCTCAATAAGTGGCGCACATTCATCATCACGTTTTCTTCCAGTAGATGTTTCTCTTGAGTGAGATATCTTCTGTAATCAGGTATAGTTGATTATGCATGAAGTGGTGGGGGGCACACCAACTTCTATGGAATGGAATCAAAAGACAGGGAACAGTATTGAAAAATAAGATGGTTGAAGGAATTCATACGCGCACACAAGACTTAAATCATTGGACCGGTTGACAATGTATCAACATTAATATCATATGGAACCAACAGATCAAAAAAGAACAATCGATGAATTTAGGGTTAAATAAAAATATGGATCTCAAAATTAGAGGGTTGGTAAGATTAGCTTTGTTCACTGAAAGGTCACAACTTAAACTCATGAATCAGGAAAATGCAGTTCTAAGTTTGCCTATGGGAAAAGTATACTCTTAGAACAAGATTTGACATTCTAAATTGCAACGAATACTCGAAGAAGGCTGAAGAGTACAGCGGCTGAAACGTTCTTCAACAACAAAGATGTGCAAATTAGTTCAAAGTAAGCAAAATGCAATGATCATCGTCATCATTGTCTAATTAATGTTCCATAACTTTTATTGATACTGTTAAGTCACTGTGTGACTTAACAGTATCATGTTAAACATTTTTTCAAATTCACTTTCCATCTCCAACTTTTTTCATAAAGTTTCTATCGGATTCTTTCGCCATCATTTGTTATTTTAACAATGTAGTATAACATTGTCTCAATGTAAAGTGCATCGTTTTAAATCTGAATTATGCAATTTCATTGGCTCATAGCTTCCTCATTTTCTCAATGCATCTGTATTTCAAAGTGACATGGTTGTGTCCCAGAAGTAACACTATCATTCTTTTTATGTCTTCTTGCCTAAATTTGCTGTTTTCTTTCGTAAATATTACTGTAAGCAATGTTTCAAACTTTATCAAATTATACTCTTCATCCCCCTACACACACACACACACACACACACACACACACACACACACACACACACACACATTCTATTTAGTATATTACTATATCATTGTGATGGCCTGATTATTCTCATGATAAACTAATCTCCCTGTAAATGCATCCTACAGAGCACTTGTGTTAAACACTGTCAAATTATTTTATAATTTATTTTTTCCAATTTGTTAGTGTCATTGTTATAGTAGAGCTGACCTTCTTTCTTTGTCTTATTGCTTCTCACGACAATTATATTGTGTCATTGTCTCACCGTTTCAATATTTTTCAGTATGTTTCAATGTTAGAGTTTTCACCTCGCCACTTCCTGTTATACTAGCAGCGCACTTGCTATCGCCCTTTTATCAATACGAGTTTCTCAATAGGTTTCCATATAACAGGCAGTACGATCCTCTTGTCGGAGAGTTTCAACATCTTTACATCCTTCCATGGATATATCATCATATACATATATCGTTATTTTTCTATGCTAGATGGTCTGACACATAAAGGCCGTTTATCATATTGATGTATTCCTGCTGAGTGCACTCGGAGAGTTTCATAAATTTAGCACAGTAGTAACAAGTTCCGGGCAGAGTCTCCAACAGAACCCCCGCGTGGTCTTCAGCCATTCCAATCTTATTTTCCATCAGTAACAGGGAATATGAATAACTGCCCACATGTCGTAGATACTTTGCCTTCACTGAACGTCTAATTTCAGGCAGTTGAGACAATCGGCGTAATTCGGCAAGAAGTTCTTCAGTATAAAACTTTTGAATCTGTAAAGTAAAAAAGGAAAAGTATGGAATTCATTTATAAACTGTTTATATTAATTATTCATATTTAAACCAACCTTACCAACCAGTGCATTTCACTATTCAATTTTTATTGTATTCATATGTGTGCTCATATCTATCCACCTTACCTTCTCCCCTCTTAATATATATATATATATATATATATATATATATATATATATATATATTGAATAAAAGACAGACACGTTAAGATTCCATGTAATAAGCTATTTCACCATAACCCCTTTAACAGGGTTCTGGATCATCAGACTTTACTTCCAAAAGCTGAAATGAAGAATGAAATGAAGAATGAAAAGACAATTCACAGGTTTTTTACGGAACTCATCAAGTATACGCAAAGTTAACGAAGTGAGGAAGTGAGGTGGGAGAGAGGATGTGAGTGTCATATGTATCATTTTAGTTTTCTATTTTAACCTCAGTGTGTGTCGGCTGGATGTTGCTCTAATCTAACGCGTCTCGTCTCTAGATAAAGGTGGTTAAGGGGTGGGCGATCGTGTTACAATCTACCTCACTATTCCTGAATCCATTAATGATTCTATTTGGAGGATAAAACTTTATTAAACAATAAAACACAAAGACAAATTTTCTATAAATTTTTCCCGCCTGGGCCATTGTAAAATATCGTAGTTACATTAATAAGATCAAGGGAAAATTAATAGGACTTTCTTTTGCGCTGTTGATAGGTAGGAAAAAATACATTAACCCATTAATCCGTAAACTGTAAAATCCGGTTTTAATTATACAACTTAAAATAAAAATCTGTATTAAGATTCTAAAACTGCCCAGTATTAATTATAGGCTTATAAAAATCCAGTTTCAGTTATAGCTTTCTACCTATATAACGTCTCTACAGTAGCGCGAAAATCTCCATTTGAGGTCGTCTAGTAGATCAGATTTCCAGATAATATCTCTTTTATTCAAGGCGACCGAGACTTTAGATGTTGCTATTGCTTGAACATTAACTAAAACCCTTGATGTAACCTACACTCGAATGCTGAGAGCTATACTTAAAATTCCTTGGAGACAACATCTAACTAAATCAGAGCTCTATGGACCCATCCCTATTTCTTACAATATTACGTAAACGCAGCATGCGCTTTGCAGAACACTGCTGGCGAACATAACAAGAACTTCTGAATGATCTATTGCTCTGAACACCTAGCCATAGCGCAAGACGAGTTGGTCACCAAGCAATCGCCTGCATTGACTATATTACGACACAGAATCCCACACTAATGACCTTCCGACTTTGACGCATGACCGCTAGCTCGACCGAATAAAAAATAACATATAATGCATTAATACATGCTAATCCTATTTTGGGGATGAGTGAATGACTTAATACATAGAATGCAGATGAGTCATTGTTTTAATGAAACATAATATTACAAAAATCAATTAATGAATGAATGAAAAAAAAAAAAAAAAAAAACAAAACTTACATGTAAAATATCAATGTTTAGCCGAACAATATGTTCCAATGCTCCAGACAAATAACATTCAGACGAGTGATCTTCCAGTATTGTGTGTTTCTTATCATAAATTTTCTGGAAGCATGAAAGAGCAGTTTTGGGCTGTTTTATCAGAATGTAAGAGTGGGCCAAGTCAGCTACGAGTTCCGTTATTCCGTAATAATCAGGGTTGATGCTTGTGTAGATGTTGAGGGCATCTTCGGCATAGGGAATGGATTCTTTGGTTTTACCTCTGCAAAATATAACACGCGAATTGATTTTGTATGATACTGTGTTTATTTTAATTGTTTTGAAATTATGTGTATAGAACCGTATTATATGGGATATCGTATCTGTGAGCATTTAATTATTTTAAGAGTAGACTCTGGTTCTTGCTTTGGAAATTGAGGCATAAGGGTGGTTACAGTCTTAGATTATCGATAAAGAAATGTTTGTAACAATACCTCGTCAAGATGACTGGCGATAAGACAGCAAGAAAGAAATATCGGACAGAACATGTAAATATGCATTATTATTGTAAATATAATAATACACATTTTATTTTACAACTAAATAAACCTCTCATTTACTAGAATTGGAGAAAAGTGTGCTGTAAAAGATCTTTGTGCGTTAGTATGCTTTAGTGTTTAGTCTTATACTAAAAGTATAAAAAGATTCATTTACAATATTTTTTTTTCTGGGAGGGAATTGGAGAAGAGAGAGCGTCCATCTCTCTTATCCCGAATATCAAAAAAAGCACATACGATAATAAACAAGGCTTGAAATTTATATTATACAGACACAAAACAATATGACAAAGTACAAATTTTACAAAAAAGGCTTGTACAAAGATTTCTTTTCGTGCGTCTAATTATGAACAAAGCAAAATAACATAACAAAATTATCCTGCAGTCTTATCTTAATGGGGCGGCCTGTTTCTCCTTTATATTTCTTGCCACAGCTGCATGGGATGTCATACGCAATATCCTTAATCATGTTCTCTTATATAGAAGGTCTTACTCGGAAGAGGTGTCTGCAAAGTGTTGAATCACTTTTGAAGGTCAACTTGATGTTATATGGACGACAGATCTTTTATATTTTTCTGATAATCATTTCACATAGATTAGCCGGACAGAGGCTGTTTTTTGAATGTTATTCTTTTGTACTTTCTATTCTATTGCGTGGGAGCTGCATTCATACACCCAGGGTAATTGTCACATTGTAGGGTAATGCTTATATCGACCATTTTTTGTTCATATGTCTCTGGGTCGCCACGATGGTGTAGGCAGCGGGCGATCCCTTTCTTTACATTGTATGGATTGGTGGGAGTTGAAGTTGGGGTACTTTCCGGTGAACTTTGGCATGCGGTATACGGATTTCTTGAACCCATGATCTGTTCGAGATATTAATGCCTCCAGGAATGCTAGTTTTTCTCTCTTAGAAATTACTCTGAGAAAAAAGAGATGAATCCACCTAATAGACAAATGAAAAAAAAACTACATATGTTCCGTTGAGATTCTCAGGAAGGTTTTAACAATATTTTTTCAATGTGGTACTGTTTTCTTTCTGCTTGGGTCTCATGTGGTTCACTGAGACCATTAATGATCTTTTTTTACAGTATCATTCGACTTTCTTTTCCCGCGAGAGTCTCCGGAAAGTTTTACATTATTGTGAAATGTCTTTCGTCGAGGTAGTTTTTAAGAATGCCAAAACCTTTCTACCCTTTGTTCTGTCAACGACTTTGACACGAAGCCTAAAACATTTTCGCAGTCAGCATCGTCCAATCTCTGTGATGTATCACCCCCTTCTATCTGCCGACATCTAAGTTTTTCTGGTGTCTAACCACCTTCTGTTTTCCATCCGGCGACTCGTCTCAAATATCCTCGGAACTGGCCCAATCGGAGCTCAACTTTAAATTTACGATGGTGAAATCCACTCTTTTCGCTGGATAATAAATACAAGGGTAATATTTTGTTTTTTTTTGTGAATTTAAAAAAATGTATCACCAACAGTCTGCCATGGCAGTTATTTCTGGCGGTCCTTTTTTTGATACAATTCTAAATAAAAACTTTTACACACAAAATGAAACAATTTTTAATAAACCGCCTGACATTGTTTCTCAAAAGTAACTGTATAAGACAAACTCAGACTATTTAACATTTCTTTATTCACACTTTTTAATTAATTATTAAATGTTTATGACATTTCAAGAATATACACTGATTAGCAGCTGTAGATTGATAAATATAGAAATTAATTATAGATATTAGTTGGAGTAATTCAACATTGGCACGCGATTACATTACAAACTCACTATAACTGGCTTGCGAGATTATATCATTAATCACGCGTATGCTTTGAAAAAAAATCAGATTGAAAATTGTAATGAAGAAGTTGCCTCGAATACTAAAGGAATTCTTTATTTTTTTCATTTTTCTTGGTGGGTGGTGGGTTTGAGAAATACTTACTGTCTTTTGTATACGTCGGAAATATAGCGCTGAATAAGTGCCGAATTTAGATGAATCCAACCGTATTCTTCCCTGATTGCCTTCGCTTCCATTAATAATCGGAGAGCAGCAACTATAAATGGTAAAGTGAAAAAATGAAAACAAAACAGACTAAATAATTCTCAGCGTATGGCATATCGAACAAGACGAATTCAAATAGTTATCGATATTGCCTTGATTGTCTTAATTTTGACAGCTTTGCATATATTGTTGATCAGAAGTTATTTTTCAGAGTCTTTCATTTTACAATCGTTTTTAATCCATACGCTGCAAGATAAATTTTAATTTATTATTATTATTTCTACTGTAGTGCGTATAAATGACTTTTGATAAATGTGACACTCAGCCCATGAATAACAATATACTCGTTTCTATTCCAGAATATTTATTTTTCCAATATATTTTCGGATGAAACTAAAAGAAAAGGTTATATTTTTTACGCAAACAGTAACCACTTTATAAAACCAGTTTGTTGTGCCTTTGAAGAACGAATTTACCACATGTGCCGATTCACTAACGCCAATCACAAGTAATCTGCTGGTGAAGCACGTAAAAGATAATGAGAAAGAAAAGTCAGCAACAGGAAAACGAATGTGAAAGAGACAACAGTGGGAGAAGAATGTTAGATATAAATAAAGAAGACGACGAAAAGGAAAAAGTGTCGTAGGATAGCGTGAAGAGAATAAGAAAGAAAAAGGGAAGAATTAAGACAAATTGTAAAAGTTGGTAGAGGATAAAGTGTAACTGGGAAGAGGATGAGAACAGCTAAATATAAAAGCAGACGAGAAGAAAGAGATTAAAGATTTGTCAAACGAAAAGTCAACAGACCGTGCTTTCCTTTATGTCTTGACAACAATTTGGCAACATTGCATAGACTGACCACCAATTTCTCTCGGTTGATGGACGATATTTTCCGCCTCCTGGACAATGATGCCATGTACCAATTGAGAGCTTTCTCTACCTGATTTCCGTCTGTGGTGAAAAATCAGTTGCAAAGATTTAAATTACAATCAATATCATAACAAAATTCTTGTTAATACATTAAAACCTCGCAATCATGTTTAATTTATTTTACCTGACTTTAATTAAAAAAAAAAAAAACAATATTTAGTACTTGATTAATACCGTATCGGAAAAAGGCTATAAGAGGACCTGCTGGGGTTGGACAAAAAAGGCCTTAGTCATTTATCATTAAATGTCATTAATAGTTTTTAGCATTAATTAACGTTAATAAAAAGATCACTTGATTGTATTCTGACAACTGTCACATAATTACACTGTCCATTTAAAAGTATCAAAATCAGCATTTAATGAAAATGAAAGAAAAAGTAACTTTTTGTATATCTTGCTTTTTAAAAAAGTTAATAAAGGTAAAAATGTCAGCAAGCAGAGACTGTGGGGTTAATAGAGAAATAAAATTAAAACATCCTTTGAGAATAGTCAAAGTTATACGACACTAGAGAGGGGGAGGAATAGCAAACATATTAAAAATATCTAAAGTGATCTGCTTAGTTATTGCGTTGGTTTTGTTATGTAACACCCACATAAGTTTTAAAAGAAAAAAAATCCTGCTGGTCTACATTTAAAACTTAAAATTGTTACGGGCAATTGAGGTCAACTAAATGAACCGCTATTAAGCAGACCAAATATTGAGTTTGATCCCAAACATCTGATGGTATACATTTAGTAGGATTGCAATGCAGTTTTATACTATGAGCTTTCTTCCCTGAAAATCAAACAATTCAACAGCTACCAATTTGTCTAAATGAAGTCAGCAAACGACGAAAAACATCTGGAATTAGTTCAATATTCCATCATGATAACACAAGTCTTTGGTACCTAGGTAGAAGTTGTTAGAGGTGAACTGAAAAGGTTTCAACCACCCTATTCACCCAGCATTTTATTTCGAATTACCGTTTATTCTAGTCTTTATATGAAATTGCTCAAAGGGAAAAATAGATTGCCGGGAAGACTGCAAATGGTTCTTTGTTAAGAAAGTTATATTCTAGGAGGATGGATTTATGAAGTTGCATGAAAAATGGCAGAATATACGAGGGGTGCTGAAAAATTGTCAGCCCCCAAAATCTAATCAAATATGAAAATTTATTATTGAATCTCTTCTTGGTCGGTTCGATAACCTTTCTGTACACATTTGTATTATAACAGAAAGATAAATAATTTTGTTCAATACAGTTAATATCGATATATTATTTCAAATAATCTTTAAAAATTGTTTTTAAGTACACAAGAGTCTTTTAGAAAAGTAAAACAGAACAGAACTTACTTCTTTCGGCGAGTAATCCCATAGAATTCAGCATGACCGACATAGTGGGATGTTCGGAATCGCCCAGACTTTTCATGCTTTCCAATAACAGTGATTCGGCTCTAGCAATTTGGCCTAGAAATAAATAAATAAATAATACGTAAAGAACGGCACATTATTTTAGAAAAATATAATGACTGTCTTTTTTTCTTTCTGAGTTTGTCTCTCTATATATACAGTTACACCCAAAAATATTCGACACATGAACATTTTAAAAGTTTTTTTTTTAAACAAAACATATTTTCGAATGTGGCTATATAAACCGAAAAATTGACTTGAACACAGTAAATATTAAAGCTTAGTATATTGTATATCTGAGCATAAATAAAGAATTTTTGTCTATGTACAAATTTATTCAGAAATTTAACAAAAATATAAAAAGGCAAAAATATAGGACACAAATCCATAAACTGCATTCAACATTGTCTTTTATTTGCTAAGTTAAAGAAATTATGCTTCTTAGATAGAAACTGTATTCTTTTTTTCAACCAGGGAAATCACCTGCACGCCAATTATGCCTTACCAATTGGATCATGAAAAGGCATCATTACAAAGCGAAGCAAAATTACCCTTTTTAAGATATGTACTTCCCTCATTGGGACCTTTTATAAAAAATGTACTTTATAAAAAAGAAAAATAAATGTATGTAAAAATAATTAATATGTAAATAAAAATAAATACAATAGAGTAGGTTTGTTTATTACACTTTCTTTTGAGGCGAGTGCTTAAAAACATTTATTAATAGAAGTAAATTACTAAAACGTTTTTTTTTTTAAATAGAGAACTGCTATAAATGAAGACAGACGGCCAGTAAAAACTGACTTGAATAAAATTTGACGTGTAAAACATCGTATATGTGCTGCTTAAATTGATATTGTAAACGAACCGTCAGAATGAAACCTGACAGTTTGTAAAAAAAAGATACATGTATAAAACTTGGTTTTCAAAAATCTGAAAAAATAGAGGCTCATGCCTGATCAAAACTCGCCTATATTAAGTTTGCAAACAGACATGGGTTAAAAAAGAGATACATTTTTTGATTTCTTTTAACTAATGAAGAAAGTAAGTTATGTAATATGGTATTAGATTTCTGATTCAATTCAGAGCCGATTTGTGGTTAGGAATTCTGATTTGAGAGATGTGCGATTATCTTTCTATAGTTATGCACGTTTGTCACAAAATTCGAAGTATTAAACCTGATTTTGAACTTTTTATGAAAATACGAGATTTATCTCATTTTTGAATATTAGTTTATAAAACCAAACTATTGTTTAAAACAGTGCTATTCAAAGTGGCGGTCCGCGGATCGGTGCCGGTACGCGAACCTTCAGCTACCGGTATACGGCCAGTGTCCAGGCCATGCTAAGGAATCACTTATTTTTTTTATTACTTTTTATGTTTTGATATTGAATTATTTTTTGCAAAATAAATGGAAGATAAAAAATAGTGAACTTTTATTATATTCATTATATATATAGTTTCTGGCTTAAATTAATATTATCACATTATATTACAGGTACGTGACACACTGACAAAAAAAAAAGCCGGTACGCCAAATCAGATAGGTTGAGAAAAAAAGTAACGCAACGACACCTGTGAATTGTCAACTTTCTCAATTCCTTTCGACAGTTGAATGAATCGAAGTAAGTGAACATTTTATTGATAATAATTATAATTGTTTTTATGAGCCTAGCCGAATTGTAATTAGAACTTGTTATCTTGCCTATGTGTATGGCACACAAGACAAGATTTTGTACAAGCTTGTTTTGTAAAAATTTCAGACAGCAGTAAGAGTCTTGTGTTCTTTTCTTTGCACTATTCATAATACCCGGAAAAAAAAACTGGTGTTGTCTCTCCCGACCACAAAAAAATCCTTTGTATTTCAATTCTGTATCTACTGACTTTATTTTTGTTTCCGAAACCTAAACAAAGTAATTTTAAAGCAATTAATAGATTTTTTATCGGACATTATTTCTTATAAATATAGTGCCTACTAATTATAACGCTTATATGATAGTACTAACTTAAAAGCTGCCCTATTGGGCGGCATTTAAACTATCTCCTAGGGAAGGCTCTTGATTGAGCCTTTATCTCATTAGGTAGTAAGGAGTAGATGTGATAGGCAACAATAAACTACAGAAGAACTCAAAATTGATCACTGCATTTAAGTATTGCATTAATATTTAGGTTTACCTTTTAAAAGTTAAACGATAATTCTTCTGTCGCCATTTAATTCAAAGAAAATTTGATGTACGTAGGTCCTTACTTTCCGTACAAACAATTATTTAGTTATTTATTTTTTATTATTTTATTTCGCAATTAATTTCGATGTTTCCCAAATTTATTTCCAAGTTATAAAAATTGTCAACGTACAAAAAATTCGTCGCAAAAAGATCACGTAAAAATCGCTGAAAACAATCGTAGTAATGAAAAGTTGGGAATCCAAAATTTCAGGATTGTGGACCCAGATCTGACCCGGAATGTTTTTGATTTGCTCATGGATTCTGCCTGATTCCAAAATGTTATGATATGCTGGGCTACGGCCTCTAGAAGTAAACTTGAAAACACGGATAATTTTATTTTGAAACACTGTAATTTGAGAACAGTCATTTTTTTTTTTTCATTTGAACATGATCGATTGAAAGTTAGAGAGTTGTGTCCCTTTAACTGTTGAAGCCAAGATGGCAGAATCCGAAAACAATCATTATAATTGTTCATCTTTTTTTATCGCGTTTTCTTCGTTTTCAAATCAATCCCGATTTTTTAAAGTTACTTCTTGTGGATAAACTATAAAAATTCATCTTTGTAGTTTGGTATACAAGAGAATTAGTCACCTAGTCCAATTTCAAAGCGTAACTTTGAAATATTCTAGTCTACAAGAGATGTAAATAGTACTGCAGCAATCATGTTTAATACGCTACCGCAATATAAAGTATTTATAGGTACCAAGAGCATCAATAAATAAATAAATAAACAAAAACATAGATAAATCGATGTGGCGAAAGTGGGATTACCTCCCTTAGACATCGTGACATGAATATAGAAGGCGCGCGGTTTCAATGATCTCTCTCTTTTGCCTTTACTCTGAACACCACCGCTACTGAACAAGTAGGTTATTCCGCCACAAGACAAGGCACTCACACGCACACACTCAGAGTGTCTAGTGTAATTTTTTGTGCAAATACATTGTTTTTATTTTTTTAATGTTTGTTTATTTGTTTGTCATTTACTTATGAAAAGTTTGGTTGCCACTGCTTTTAATTGAGCTAGAAGTAAAGACCGCAACATATTCTTCATAGACATATGGTTATAAAAAAACCATAGATTTTTTTTTCTGTGAGGGGATGAATGGGAGAATATTGAACGTCACCTCTCTTATCCCGAATATTAAAAGAGGTGCATGCAAAACAAACAAGATTCGAAACTACTACGTGAAATTTGAAAGGTACAAACATTTATTACATAGATAAAAATATATATATATAACAAAATACATTTTTTCCTTTCGTGTGCCTTATTATGAACAAGGAAAGATAACAGAACAAAAAATTTAGAAATTATAGATTCTTAAAAAATTTACAACACAATTTTCAAATCGTGGAAGAATAAAAACCTTGAAAAGGTAAAAGTGAAAAATAAACAGTGTAAAAAAGAAAAAGTACTCTTTAAAAAAAAAAAAAGTGAACCACCCAATTAACAGAGAGACGAAAAAACCTGTTGTTAGTTTTGGTTTATCCCACGAGTATTTCTGGGAACTTTAACGATTTTTAAAAAAATGTCTTTCGGTTTTATTTTTGATTTCTTTTAGATTCCTTTTCGAGGTCGGCAGTGGCGTGGTTGGCTTTTAGTTTTTCTGTGTTTTTCCATTTCGTTGTCCTTACAGTTCTTTGCTCTCTTAGCGACTCCTAGCGACTTTCACATGTGAACGCCACAAACCCTTCCGCTCTCAGCCTCTTTGTAGCCAGCCGACTTCCTTGGCATTTGAAATCTAAATCCCGTCCGCCGTTATCCATTGACCCGTCTTCTTAAATATCCTCGAAAGATCTCAACTTGAAATCTATAAAGGTGGAAGCCACCCTTTTCATTGAACAATAAATACAAGGGGGATATATATTTTTAATTTAAAAAATGAATGACCAACATTCTGCTATGGCAGTTATTTCTGGTGGTCCTTTTTAAATAAAAAAAAATTTACAGACAAATGCAACAATTTCATAAAACGTCTGGCTTTCTTTTAATACACTTCTCCCCAAAATAAATGTATATAACAAACTTAGGCTAGTAAATATTTATTTATTTACATTTTTCAATTAATTATTATTATTTAATTATTTTATGTTACTAGCTAATAATTTTTTTATACCTATGAATGAGTATGAAGGTTTAAGATAAAATATTCGGCACATTTATCTTATTTTATAAGATGCTAATGATAGAAAAACAATTTATTTTTTACACAACGATCATTTTTAACATAGTCTCCGTCATTCGCAATGCACTTATTTCACTGTTGAATGTTAATCACATTGCTTGAACATTATACAGTGAAAGTGTCACATCAAAATTTAACTAAGAATTTATTGATCCTCATAAATTATTTTTCTCAAGTATTTTTAAAAGAAACTGTCTGACTCAAGGCCAGTATAACTTATAGAATCTTACCTTCAAAACCTAGATTGTAGGCTAATATTGAGGCACAGGTTACTTTGGCGCGTAGTACTTCATTTTCCGATCGGTCAGTTACTTCTAAATTGAAGCCTTTTTCAGTTGCACTGAAAGAGAAAAAGTGACAGTAATCTTGTAATGTCAATAGATTACAAAAGTATTAGACATTGTCTAAAGTAGGTTCGTCTATGGTTCAGTTTACACTCCTCCCCGCTATTTTGAAGAGGAGTAGATGTTTATACATTGTTTCATGTTTAGGATTGGGTTTCCGGTTCTTTCTAAAGCCTGCTTCAGATTTGTACTCCTAACATCTGTACCTGCACTCTTTTTTAAATTTGATTCACTAATTATTTATTTCATTTTATTTTATTTTTTTCTGTCTCTTCTCCATCACTAAAACTAGATAGGTTTGCCTTTCATCTGATTCACATCCCTACCTGGTCTTTCGAGTAGGAGTAGAAGTTTACCCTTTGTTTCTTGTTTAGGATTGAGTTTCCGGTTCCTTCTAAAGTCTACTTTATCTCTATACTCCTTACGCTAATACAACTCCACACATTAACCCTCTATCTTGAGTGGCTCTTGTATTGGGTGAACATTAGTAAAAAAACATATGCGAGTGGGTAATTCAGTAGAGACTCTTCGATTGAGCAATCTAAGCAAGCAAATCCAAGCTGCAAATTTTAAGACGACTGGTGGTAAGTTAGTGCTACAGACTCTTCTATTACTATGCTTCTCTAACAAATTAATGAAAATTATTCAACGGTAAATACTAAAAATATTTCTAATAAACGGTTTCTAATTAATTTCTAATTAAGTTCAGTTTTCATTCTAAGAATGCCTCTTGACATTCTTTCATTTTTTATTAGTCAAATTTATTAATGCACATGCTTTTGTGATTTTTATTATTATTCCCTTGAATGTGGAAAACTTTTCATTTATTTAATTGTAAAAATCAGTTAATTTTCTCTTGTAATTTTGCAATAATTTTCTTCGACTGAAATAATATATACACAAAGATATCTACATTTTTCAATATCTTATAAAATTGTAACGCTTTTTTTCTGAACATTGTGAACACTTTCAATAAAGTGTAATTTAAATACAAACGTCTAATGTTATTCTTATTATTATTTTGTGGTAAGCAGAGTACAACTGATTAAAATTAGAACTTGACTAGAAGTTGTCGATTCAGTGTCAAAAAACACACTGGGGAAACAAAGTGTGGTAAAATTTGCTACACCTCTTGGCGGCAAATTAACTTTTAGCAAAAGCATAATTATTCCAAGCAAGATTAACACACGATAACATCACATTCCCCTTACCACGACAAAATTTCCAAGCCAATCAAATTAAAGCAAATATACCTTATTGATTAACCATAAACCTTAAAACATTAAAATAACAATTCAGTGTCAAAGGGCATTCAAGGATCCGATTTAACCGAATTCAAAAGCATAAATAAAAAACAAACCCAGTTGGTGAGTCTTAGACATGCAACCCCACCCCACAGCAAAAGGAACACACTATAGCCTCATCCATATGCTCACACTCAATTCCAATAGACATCTTTCTTACTTCTCAAGTAAGAAATAATTTTCTTCAATACTTTCAAATGAACGCTCACAAATGAACTCTTTTATTATGTATTCTTGTAACATTGAGATATATTTCATTAGCAATATTTGTACAAATTCTTTTTAAAGAAAAACCCTTTCGTTTCCTCCAATATTTTCTTCACTAAAAGTTAACATAAAAAGTAACACTTGTTTAGTTTGTATCTTTAACATGTTGAGAAAAATATGGGAAAAAGGGAGAATGTTGAAAATAATTTCAGCGCGAAAAGGTCATGGAAATCATTTTTGTGTCGATAAGTGAAGCGGGATTAGAAAATTTGATAGTCTCGATTGGAGGAATGATTTAAATAATAATAATAATAATAATAATAATAATAATGATAATAATAATAATAATAATGATAAATTCAAAATACTCTGTTTGTATGGGCTCTGTATTCCTGATCCAAAGCAGATCTGAGTTCCATGTTCGTTTTAGGTATCAGTGAAATGCTTTCTAAGATGGTGGCTGTCCACGAGTCACAACATCGAGAAGAAAGAGATTATTTCATATGTATGTCTACTAAGTTTATAACAGTCGGACATTAGATCACTGTAGTGAAGCACCCTAGGAAAATCAAATTTGTTATTACGTGGAATGGTCATGTGAGATTACCTTGCTAAATATCACCTTGTTTTAACTATTTAACAAATGCTTTTATTTAGGTACCTCCACTAATTCGGTATGAATTTTCAATACCTAAGATTTAAAATGAATTTTTTAAAGTGAAAACACATTCTTGAAGATTTCTTATTAGCTTTAATTGAAAGTTAAAGAATTAAATTTACTTTTTCCAGTAAGCAAAATGCTTTCGTGTATTTCAAATTGAAATTATATAGATTGAAATCTCAGTTATTTGCTCGTTTTCACAAAATCCATTACAAGCGGCCATTTTCCATATTTTAAGACATTTGCAAACAAAATTTAATTATCGGCTTTTTATGCTATAAGTAAGTAATATCTGTTTCATATCAGATTAATTTAACTTTAAATTTGATAATTTTACTCAAATAACTGATTTGAAACAAATACTTATAGCATAAAAAACATAATATACAAGCATTTCTTAACCACGGGTCCTGTTTTTTTTTTAAGTGTTGATTGATGTAATTGACGGGCTAAGGTGTTGACAGCTAAGTATGGATGGCTAGAATTGACATAAATTTACGAAATCTAAGTGAACGCAATTTTGGGGAGTTTTAACTATCTCGTAGTTTTTACAAATTAACATTATATTTTCAGCAATTATCTAATATTTTATTGACTTTTAGTTACTATAGTGTTATAGCCTTATGTTTGAAGATGCTTTTTGAAAAAATAATAAAAATTTATATGTTTTATGTTATAAAAAAGAATAAACTGAAAAAATAAAAAAAATAACTGCTAACAAAAAAACATTTCTAGGTTGTTTCTTCTTTAAAAAAAAAGTTTATAAAAATTACTCAATTGAAGTATGACCCGCATTAAAATAAATACATAAAATAAAGATATTTAGGGAAATAGGAATTTAAAAAAATAACTTATTTTAAAGTTTTAAAAATTTGAAGGGAGAGATGTGCATAGCCTGTTGAGACATGCCATGAATAAAGAATTACAGAGAAGCAAATTTCTCAGTAAAGTTAGGACAAGTCTAACAACACGGGACCTTCTTTTAAATAATAATGTCATGTACAGACCACCATACATAGAAAAATGGAAACGTTTAAACTAAAAAGAAAAAAATATTTAAAAAAAAATCTTTATGCAAAACGACTTACATTAAACTTTTCAACTTTTGATTCGTAAATATAGTTTCCACATAATTATAATATCAGCTAAAAGAAAGGAGGTAATGCAAAATTTTAAACGATTTTTAAATTATTATAAATTATTATAATTAAAATTTTAAAAAATTAAAACAATTCTTTTAAAAATTCATTATTCATCGACTGTTTTTTCATAAGGCAACAGTATCCCTAACTCTTATCTATAAAAGCAATTGAAAGCTTCTCTAATTATATAATGTCATAGTTTTATTACATTTCTTATTTTACTATTCGGAGGAGGTTTGCGGAAAAACAGCAGTAGTTTTAAAAAAATAAATTGGATGATTTACATTCTCCAAGGTGCTCTACTTTTAACTATTAAAAAAATTTTGGGAAAGGAAATTTAATTTCTCGAAACTTCATGAAATGAAGTAAGCTAGTGGGTGGGTGGGAGTGGTAACATATATAAAAAAGTATTTTTTATCCAGATTTTCTAAAACAAAACATTTAAAAAATAATTTAATTCATTTGTGAACAAGTCCTGAATGCTACATTAAAATTCGACAATCATTTGATTTTTGCAAGAATTGCTAAATCAATGTGTTTTTCACCGGAACAAAACGCAAAAACACTAAACGTAAATATCACGTCTAACACTAACGTAAAAAAACAAGATTTTTAACTAAAATTTTCGAATGTGTTTAAAAGGATTAAAAAAAGTTTTAAAAATAATTAAAAAATATTTTAGTCTTACCTCTTAATAAACATTTCGACGATAAAACTTTGTTTATATTAAGTTTGGGACTTTTTTTCATCAGGCTATGCTGCTTTTCAAAGTATTTCTCAGTTTTTACCGAACATTATACCCCTTCCTAACAAAGAACTTTATCTAAAATATTTAGAATATTGAAAATTTATTTGTATTTTCAAAGTAATTAGGTCTCTAAGTTCATTTCAAATACCTTTTTCAACAAGTTAATCGCTGGCAAATCTCCTAGTTAAGTAATTTTCTGCAAATAGTTTATAAAATGAAATTTATTACTAACAAATTTTCGTAAATTTCTACTCACTTGATAGCTTTCTTGTACTTTCCTTGCATGTAATAATTAAAGCCCATACTCGTGTAGAGTAGTAAACATCTGTAGTTCAAGCCACGTGCTTTTAGAACGGGTAAGGCCATTTGATAATATTTCATTGCTTCTTGATAGCCTCCAATATCTGTATAAAAAGATGAAGACACGGGGTTTAGCACATTTAATAAAAAACCTTAAAAGCTATAAAATTGGGATTTTTAGAAGATTATTTAATTCTTGACAGATAACTTAACATTTCTTTTTAGGTTCGCCAAAAGGATTAAAAGAAATGAAAGAAAGAAATGTGTGTGTGTGTGTGTCTGTGTGTGTGTGTGTGTGTGTGTGTGTGTGTGTTTGTATGTGTATGTGTGAGCGAGCGAGAGTGAAAGAGCATAAGGAAAGTTTTATATTTAAATGGATTTCGAGAAACATATTCGAACTTTAGAATTTTAATAGTTTTATGTTGAACGCATTTTTTTTAGAATTTTAATAGTTTTATGTTGAACGCATTTTTTTTTACATATCTGAAAAGAACACACAATCAAATCAGGATTGAAAAGAAAAATGTACTAAACTCTTAAGGCACTTATTGTAATTTAGTAAGCTTAACTTACTTTGGTACAAAGCCATAACTATGAGGCACCCAGAGAGGATCAAACTCACTAATCCGTTGCAATGTTTAACCAGGTTAGATCACTAACCATTACCATACCATGAGGCAACACTTGTTGTTTTATGCTATTCATTAGAAAAGAAAAAGTAAGAAGTTATATATAAATGAAAGCAATTTTAAAAAATGTTTCCCTGGACTGAGTTAAGTTTTACGTAGAATAGCATTTATCGATATCTTAGTGAAAAATTGACTTATAATCAATGATACAAGAACGCAAAATCATTACTCTACAAAGAGTGCTTTTCTTATAAAGTAATAAAATTAGATTTTTTTTTAAGATTAAGTTACCTTATCACAAAACTACAGTCGTAAAACATCCAGTAAGAGTTGAATTTTAAATAAAGTTTACTTCGAAGACAACAGAAAAATAATGAAGCTCATAAAATTACGCTTGTGGAAAGCAAGTAAAAGAGTTTTGTGTGCATTGGAAGTTATGCAAACTTTCCCAGATTTTAATAAAAGAACGATAGTCAACCACTGCTCAAAGTTAGCAGGAAAGTTTTAACGAAATCGCAAAGAAAGAAAAACTTTCGATCCTGCGACGTTGCTTATTTGAAAATGTAACAGATGATCAAATCACTGTTGGGCCTATGAAGACTTCAATATTTTCTTAATAATTGTGTCTATAGAAGATAACAATTTTAGACAAATATATTTTTTTTACAAGAATTCACTATTTAATTAGCAAGCAATAATGTGAAATATTTTGTTAATATTTCAATGTTCGTTAGATTTTTCCCATTTAAACATCAACCTCAAACAATTTCATTTACATTTTACAAAACCAGTTAAATATCTTATACGGAGTTCTTTTAATTATATTGGTATCCTGTCTAGTCTGATGAGTAGGGCTGCTTTATGACATTTCATCTTGAATTTCATTTCAGTGGTCCCTCCTGTGAATTAATAAATAATATGATGGCTACTCTGTCATATTTTATGATCCATGGAATTTTCAATAGGTTGATATTTTACTTCTCTCTTTTCAAATGTTCTCATTTTCTTTCAGTGCAACTATTTTTTTTTCATTTCGAATGTTCTTGTTTCTCTGCTAACATTTTTAGGTGTTTTTTTTAGATAGGAGTTGAGTAATTAGTTCATTACTTGCCATGGCATGTATTTTTTAAGCTCAAGTGAGAGTTAGCCTATTACAACGCACAACATACAAAAGTGCTTTCAGCGTTTTTTTTTTTTTTTAATCATTCATTCATTTATGAATTAATCAAATAGTGGAACTCACCTGGATAGGCGGTGATGGAACGTCCATATGTCGCCTTCATTAAGGCCTGTTCTTCTCTGTCCCCAAACAGATAAGAGTTATCCAAACATCCACGAAAGAAATCTTTTGCAGCCCTCGGGTAGCAGGATGATAAAACGCTTTCAGCTTGAAGGGCTATCTGAGTAAAATGAAAAGATCACTTGAAATAGCAAAGAACGCAAATAAATATCTTTATTATTGCAGAAGAATCATAAATTGTATCTAAATTCTATAAATGAAAGGAAACTCATAGCCAATGCTCTTTTTATTATTTTTAACAATATTTAAAGATTTTATACTTATTTGTAGTATGCTGTTTACGATAACAGATGCTCCTGCACACACACACTGAAGGAAAATAGAATTGTTCACCCTGATAGACAATACCGAGTTTGATCTAAGTATAATAGTGGGTAGTAGATATTTTGATAAAAATCCCAGTCTTCGGTCATCTTATGATATAGCAATACATAAACAGGATATTAAAAACAAATAGCAGTCTGTGCTTTAGACAGTATCACACATACATTTTATTTTCGTGTTGTTTGACTAATTGTATTATCCACTCCTTTGTTGCTTCCTTGTATGTTAGTAAACCAATAGTTGTTGTCTTGTATGACAATTCTAGCTGAATAAAACCTCTTCCACCTTCTTTATGGGGTATAGACAGTCTGCATCAGCTTTTGGATTATGCATGTTATGCTTTGAAAGAATATTTCTTGGCTTAGAATCCATTTATCTGATGTCATTTAGAGTCCAGTTCAAGATGTTAAAACTATATTGTACCACTGGAATAGAAAGGCTATTAATGGCCATAATTATGTTCTAGCTCACTGTCATTCCTAACATACAACATTAAGTCATCCATATAAAATAGAATGCTTATTTTCTTTTGAAATATCTTATAAAATTGATGACGACGTGTGATACTTTGTATATATTTAAAAACTTTAAGATCCAGGAATGGATTACACTATCGAATGCCTTACGGTAATCTATCCAGGCAGGACTGAAATTTTTCTTTATATTGAAGCAGTTTTCCAAGATCATCATATTAATAAGTAATTGGTCTTTACATCCGTAAAAGCCACGTTTGCACCTTTTTTGTTCAAGAGGTAGTATGTAATTTTTTTTCTAAGAATGAATATGTCTGTTTTGTCAAAATAGATATCAACAGTTTGTAAGTAGTGGGAAGACATGCAATTGGTCTGTAGTTTTGGGACATTTGTGTCATCATTCTTGGGTAGAAGGAAGGTAATTCCTTTGGTTACCCATGTCGGAATTTTAGTAAGATGATGGGCCATTTCTTGAAGTTCTTTGATTATTTTTTTGTGTGCTGTACTTAGATAATAGTGACAAAATTTAGAAATTTATCTATTGCTGGAGAATTTCCATTTGTATGCTTTTTATAGTGCACATTCAACATCCAATTCTGTGATTCTGCCCATGTTTGTTCTGGTTTATTGTTATTATTATTATGAAATCTGTGAGAATTATTTTTGTGTAATGGTGGTGATTTAAATTTAGTTCTGATTTCAAGAGCTTACTTATGTCGTAAAATGACTTTTAGGCTACAATAGACAAGTGTAAAGCAATTCTACTCAAATTAACAAAAATAGTGAAATACTTTTTACAATATTTTTAAAAGTAGAACAAAGAATTTTAAAAAAGAATCTTTCGAAACTGTATTTTTTAATCATTGATATGCCAGTTTTTTTTTCCGTATGTCTTATAATGCTTATTTCAGTTTTTCAGTGCTTTAATAGTGAATGTTTTTGAGAATTTTAAAAAGTTTATAGTGAAAAATGAAGTGACTAAAAATATGTCATTCATCTCCGTCAATTTTTGAATTCCATTACTATATAACGGGGGAAAATATAGTCTAATGTTATAGTCAACAAGAGATATTAGTGGAAATGCGTTATAAACGGATTTTGCTTCATAACCTTACACTTTGCTTTTCGCTATATTCAGTTATAATTTTTTTAAATTTTAATCTTTTATTTAATTCACTGTATCTTTACCTAATTAGTGTATATGTATACTTTTTTAAATGTTATCTTAAGTAACTTTCTTTCAAAGTGTAAGAATTTAATGTTCAATTTGGATAAAGAATATATACATGAATAAAATTTACTCTAAAAAGTTTAATTAGACATAATTACACTCTTCATCGATTAACTTTCTATCACCTTTATTTCTTTTTTATTACTCTTCCTCCAAACCGTTTCATGAATCAGCATAAAAAACAAAACTATTATTCAAAAGAATAGTCGGAAAATCTTACTTGGTAATACGCAGGGAAGATATTTTGATCAGATGAGTGGTGAACACCTTGACGCATCAGACTTTCAATATTCTCCCAGTTTTCGTTGATAATACCAATGGCTTCAGTTAGAAGGCCCCGATTGTAGATATCTTGAGCCTTTACGAGCGCTTCACCGATTATATTAATGTATTTGAGCTTAATCACGTCGTTGCATCGTAGGTGCTTTAACCGCTGGTCGGCAAAATCTCGTGCAATTCGTTGTATTCGAAACGTCTTAAAATCAACATCCGAAGTAATCACTTTTTGTTCCACAAGTGACACTAAATTATAAAACGTACTTTGTCTGTCTGTTTCGATCATTTTAGTCGCAACGTCTACGCCAAAGTGGCCATCAAAACATGATAAAATGGACAAGGCACGCTGTTGGGTAGGCGGCAAGTTTGTTATATACTCTTCAAAACAGTCAAAAATGGCTGCATCTCGACTCAGAGGCATCGAAGAAGTCAAACAATCGTAAAAATTATCAGCTGTATTAAGACAGTGACAAATATGTTCGAGGGACATCATCTTTAGCAAATCCTCAAGGCGATCAGATAGGCGTACCAGAAGACCAGGAAGGGAATTGCAGCTCTCAACTAAGTAATTCACGCAGGCCTCAGTCTCTTCCGAGATAGCCAGTCCAGACCGGCGACAGAAAAGTGACGTTGATTCAGCGAGACTTAAGGGCTGAAGCTTCAATTTCTCATAAGCAATGCCTGTAATAGTGAATGCTTTCCAACCACTAACCACTAAAACTATTCTGGTAGAAGGGAAACGAATAAAGACTGTATCACAGATTTGTTGAAACGACGGCCAAGCACTCGGTCTTAGTTTATGGAAATCATCCAAAACGTAAATATGAGGTGGTGGAGCATTGGACGAGGAGAGGAACTTGTTCAAAGATTCATGGATTGTTGACCATTCAGTGTCGTTACTGATGCAGAAATAATCCCAATGGAGAGGTTGTGGCGAGATCTCAAGGATTATTTCTTGGAGAGCCTACCAAGATAAGAAAAAAGTACATAACTTATAAACTAACGTTTGCAATAATGGCAAGTATAGAAGAAAAAATGTTTTTATCGTTTCCTCGGTTATATAATTACACGCTAATATAAAATATGGATCCCTGCTTCAATGGCTAAGAAAAAGAAGTACACAGAAATTAATATTTTTAATACAACCCTATATCTGAACTTTCAATAAATAAGCAAGTAATATTCATTCTACTGGATACTGATTGTAGCGGGTTGGTTAACAAAATCGTCTCGCATATCAATTCTGCAGTTCGATTCTCATTAGGCGCCGCACTAGCGTTGACTTAGAAAATATCACTAATATTCATATTATCAGCCTATAAAGCATATCTGGGCCTATCAAATAATATTTAGGACGCGGTTATCGCGTTTATATCATAAAATAGTACTGTAAAAACTTGAAAGCAAATCACTTTAGGAAATAAAATTATTATTCCTATGCTTGTATGTGTTAACGACCAAATCCTCACGTATATCACTTTCAAAACTGTGGATATTTTGTTGACACGGTAGATGCGAAATCAATTACAGAATGTTAATACACTCATTTAATGTTGTGGCAATTTTGTTATTGCTCGAAATTTATTATATATTTTTATCATAACCGTAATGTAAAGAGCTTATTTCTTTAAACAAGAGACCAAATTAAAACGATTTTCTTCTTACCAATTTGAAATAGTGTTATTTATTATCTTTACTTCTGTAAAACCCATATCATCAACTCCAATATTTTTTCAGGGAGTAATAGTTTTTTATTTGTGGTATTAAATTGATTAAATAAGTATTTATAACTAGAGACGGAATTACCAAAAAATGGAGACAGCTACTTAAAAAGTTGTAGTTCCATCCTTCGCCTAAATAATGGCGGCTACACGAAATGGCATGAACGACTGGTGCCATTGCAGAGACATATCTATAAAGCACATTCTAGGACTCTCCATAACCGAGAGGTGTTAAGTTTGTCACAGGTAATTTAGTGAGGGTTTCAACATGTTCCATACATGATCAATAGAACTTAAAAAACTAGTGAGCCTTTGTGGAAACAATGAAAAACTTGGAAGTAGTGGAATGTTCCTGGGACTAGTTTCATGTCGTCACTTGCACTCGATGAAGATTATCATCCTCATTGGAAAATGTGGCGAGCCTAGAGAGTTGCAAATACTCCGCTACAGGAGCTGTGTATTTTACATTTGTCAAGTCAACTTCCACTTTTACTAGTGGTCTTTGTGTACTCTAATAGAACACACTCGACACAATTATAGCGCTATCATCAACTAGCATAAATACCCTGCTGGCAGTCTGGTTCCAAAACTTCATAACAATCTCTTTCACATCCGAATGTGAACGTCTGTCTTGAAGATCAGGTGTCCTGACACCAGTTTAACACGGTACAACGGTAATATTGCCAGGTTCATTATTATATAAAAGCCAATATTACATTCTTGTTTGTTGGTTGGTTTTGTTTTGCTAAAACAAACGGATTAAGTTTTAAGATCAAATAAGTTTTAATTAAGTTTTAATTTAAATTACGTTTTAACATCAAATTAAGTGAATTCTGGACTAAGATTTAAATATTCAACAAGAAGGTAAGGAAGGAAATAAGGTACTCGCGGCTGATAATAATACACAAACAAACTAATATAAAAATACCTAAACATAAATAATAATTTTCAAACTTTTACTCTCACTCTTCTGTTGAACCTTCAATAAATGATAACGATTGTTCTCTACTACTTTTTCAACTTACTTTTTTTTTATTTGAAATATTATAAGGAGTTAACTGTTCTTTTTTTTTAAAAAAATTTTGTACTTATATGGATTAGTCATTTATATTTCTTTTTGTTTTGCTCCATTTAAAATAACTCCATTTAAAACAACGAAAAATTAATTTTTTTAATGTTTTAATTGATTTTTTCTGATTTAACATGATAGTCTTTCACTTGAAGTTTAAAATCTGTAAAAGCTCTTAATCGTTTTTCAACGAATAAATCATATCAGTATTATTACGACTAGTATAGTACCAGTGCCAACGAAATATTATTAAAAAGTTACGTATTCAAAAAAATATTTAGAAAAAAGAAGAAAGGTAACACAAAAAAGAAAGATAATGCAATATTTTGCAAAAATAATATTTTAAACTAAGATTATGATATAAGTTTTACGTAGAAAAATATTTTTAAAGCTTGCAACCGCCTTGCAAAGAAAAACATGTTACATTCTTTAAATGGTCTGATTCTAGTTTTTTTTCTTGTAAATTAATTCTGAATCCATAAATCTCGGAAGGAAGATATTACTCTCAAATAGAAATTCTGAGAATATTTTAAATTCGAAGTGAAAATTTAAAGCAAATTAAAATTTTCTCGGAATCGAAGGTCGGTGGAGCAATAGATATAAGATTTGTGAAATTACTTATTTATTTTATATGTTGGACGTTCGAAACACGTATAGTTTGTAGTGATAGAGAAATAGACAAATAAAAAAAGAAGAACAAAATTTCGCCATCTCTAAAAATGAACGGATAATAAAAATCGCCAGGTAAACAAAGCCATAGTTTGACCAACAAATCAGAAACCTTTCACAATCAGAATGTAAGAAAAGAAATAAACAAATAATAACAAGGAAAGCAACATTTTACCATTTCTAAAAATGGATATTTCAACCAACCAATCAAAAAACTTTTACTATCAGGCTGCGAGCCAATGAGAAGCAGAGCGTCCTTTTCGTAGTGGATCTATAGATGTATATATAAACAGTTGGAAAATCCCCTAAAACAAATATCGATAAATAAATTTTGCCCTTTCTCCGATGCTGCGGTTATCGTAATATACCCAGAGACGAAATACGAGAATTGCACAACTAACTGACGTCCTTACACAACTAAACCTTCGTTGCTACATTGAAAATAAATATGCCTCCTTCACCACATTGTCAAGTGGCGACTGTTGTATTTGGATACAAACAGACATTCATACATTTACTTTCCTCTGGACATTTTCTCTACGCCTTTTACATTTAAACTTTTGAATTTCCAACATTCTCTTTATCCTTCTATATTATTATATTGCGATATATAAAAGTTTATTTTGTATTATCAATATTCTGTGCATTTTCTTTTAATCCTTACACAAAGCCAATATACACCCAAATCAATTATATCTATATATTATTGGAACGGACGTTGTCGTAAGAGAAACAACTTGTCTTGGGCACCTCGAGGTGGTGTAATGGTTAGCAAGCTTGTCTCGCTAAAACAATTACGAATGAGTAGTGAGTTCGATCCTCACTGGGTGTCCCTTACTTTCGGCCTTGTGCCACATCCAAGCTATGCTTAGGAAAAAAAAGCCAGAGAGGAACCCGGACGAAGCTCTGCCGAAGGGCAAAGTTTCGTCCGGGGAGGTAGACAGGCCCTGAACCCGTCTAGGCGGGTTCAAAGGGGATATTTTTGGTCGAGCCTACGGGCTCGGAGAAATCCACTTTAAACTCGGCCTTGTGCCACATATATTTCTCGTGGGTGGGATATTAAATACCGAGAAACAACTCATCAATAACTGATAACCTACGATAAGTCCGCTCAACTTTATATTATTGGAATTTAATTTGAGAACCAGGAATATAATATTTTACAAGTTCACATTCTAGCCTATTTTCCAACCCTCACTCCAACCTTTTTCCTTGCTTTCAAAACCGGTTCCCAAAGCCTTGATTCTTATCAGAAATAAGAATGTATTTTCCGACTAACAAGAGAGCTGGAAAATATAAAAAGGAATTCCACCACCGTTATTATTTCAATAAAGTATGCAGGAAACCTCATAGCATGTTGCAGCTCCCAAGACCTTGATTCTTATCAGAGATAAGAATATATTTTTCAAACAATGAAGAAGCCAGGAAATTTGTATAACAATTTGGGAGGGGAAAGTCCCCGATACTTCTGAGCCTCCCAAATCTAAATAAATTTGGAGAATCTTCGCCTAATTTGGCAGTGAATAACTTCAACAACCGTCTGAGGTAACAACGGGTTGACTACAGAAAGGCATTCATCTTCAAGAAAGAGATCTACTGGACTGAAGAGACAGAACGTTAGCTGACTACTAAAAAAAAAACTAATTGAGAACTGCCTCCTTATGACTGAAGATTTCTGTCGTCGACGTACAAACTCATTCAACTACGGAATTTCGTATCCACCGATTTTTCCTACTCTGCAAGAACTCTGAAGTAAAACTGTGAGTGTTTTGACCCTTAACAACCTTCTACTCGCTTAAAGAAATTTTAGGCGCTCAGAGAAATATTTTCAGCAAGCCTTTTTTCTTTTATGAACATTTTCTCTTCCTTTAAAGTTAAAGGACTTTTTATTCTCCCTTTCTTTCTCTCGTAATTGTGTTTATCCCTTTAACTTTAAATAAACACTTTCTTCTTTTATTGTTACACACTGAGCGGGATTTTGAATCTTTCTTTATTCGTCCGTCTAAAAGAAAGAGTTTGTCCGCTCTAATCTTGATGTTTTTATTCAATTTTTGTCGCAATTTTTTAACCTCAACCCGGGAAAAATTTCCCACAATATACCTGTTTCCTTTAGTTAGCATAACAAAAATCAGACAAAAATGTAACAACGGTTTTTAAAATATGTGTGCCAGCGAGAGATTCTTTGTAGAATCAAATATTTATCTACATGTTATGTAGTCATATTTTAAGAAATAATCATTAATAGCAGGAACTGCTAACTTTGTAATAAAAACATACTTATTTCTACTCTAACAGTAGGTACTGACGTACTAAGTCGATAAGAGTGTGAATCAGGAGATAGTGAGGTATAAAAAATATACTTACAGTTTTAACAAGTTGTGTTTTGCCGACGTAAGGAAGGCCGTAGATCTGAATCAGAGGTAGGTCACTTTCACACAGAAATGTTTTCAATTTCTCTCTCTCGTCATGTCTACCTATAAAATAGCTTGATTTCATTTCAGGGCTTTTTTTATTGTTGTCACAACAACTACTGGCCATGATGTCGATGTTTGAAATAAAACTAGAAAAAAAGAATAAAAATTAATAGTGAAATTTAAGAAATTACCTGGGGGAAAAAAACAACAAACATTATGAATCAAGCTAGGATGATTATTTTAGGACCAGCGGAAGTAGACGGTGCAATTGGTAGATATGAATTCGAGTTGCATTACCTACTGTGCACAAGAACAGAACTGTGACATGAAGGATAGCTACACGGCATCGAATTTCTCAATGAAAGCGCCATATATTTTCTTTCTTACAACAACTGCAGGAGTTATAGTAATTATAGCAACAAGTGAAAAATAATCATGTGCAGTAATAAATATCTTATCCAAAACCCACTGGGAACAGAAAAGTTTCAGAATTGTTTAGATTTCAGAATGTTAGTACCTATATACCTATATACCTATATACCTATATATAGTTTATATCCGAAAGTTTTAAAGTGACCAACTTCTTCACTATACAGTATAATATTTATAAGCAAGAGAACATTATGATTAATCACACTTTGTTGGATAAATAAAGATTATAGATATTATAGTTTATTTGTATAGTAATAAAGTGTCACTGAGAACGTTCCAGCAACTTCTGCAGCCAAGCCGGCTCCAAATGTAATGACTTGTGTTCCTTTGGATCTTGTCGCCATGAACGAGACGGGACCATGTGGTCTGTGTCCAGAGACCTCGTAACAGCATTATGGACCCCTGGGCAAACCAGTGCGCTGGGTCCCCTACGAAAACCACACACAAGAATAAAAAGTAAATGGTCGATAATATTAAATATAAATTATTTTATTGTCACCTCAACAAAACTGGTGTTAAAAGATTAAAAACACGCTGTACAGCAGGAACAAATCAACATGATAAACATTTGAACAATACACAAGGTTTGAAAAACACAATAATACTCAGTAAGCCACACAGATTAGATAGCACAGTATGAAATTACTACTAACTTCTTATTTTAACAAGCATTTGCGGCATTTCTTTTCAGAGAATCGAAAATGGTCTTCAGGAATAGTATGCCATTTTCCATGCACATGAGTGAAAGCCAGTTCAAGTGATGCAGCCCCATTATGCTACGAAGCATATTTTTATAAGTTTCATTCTTGAAAAGAACGTTCTCCTGTGCAGTTGTTCACCATCATGCACATGTACACTGAGTACAATTTCAACATTCGGGAATACAGATTTCCAATTGTCCGAAATTATTTATCTGTACAGTGCAGGGAGAGTCTAACAATTTTCATCAGGAGCCATGTAGTGCTTGCGATGCTCACATTTAAAAGGTCATCATAATTCAGGTCTTTGTGATACATATTAGCCAGTTGTTTACATTTTTTCTTTAGTGCATCAGAACTAATGGTTTTCAATTCACCGAAGGAAAAAACAGATATAAAATCTGTAAATAAGCCTCTGCACGTTTTGTCTGCTCAAAGATTAGTGTTCAGAATAGGGGGAAATGTTTCCACCTTGAACTTTTCGCTGTTACTGAGAAGTACCTTTTTTGCTGATCCATCATAACTATTAAGATGCACATTTCGTTTTCGTTTTTCCCATCACTGCAATTTATATCTGGACACATACTCCTGGCTTTGATTTCATATTCACTAAATTTGTCTCTAGTTTCCTGATGAAAGATTTTCATAGGCACAAGAAGCAACAAGGCAGTTAACATCCTTTGAATGCAGGACCTTGCTTGTTTTGTTCATTCTTTCTAATGTTATTTCAAAGAATTGTAAGAAAGAACTATTCCAGGTTTTCAATTTTTTCTCAATCCTTCTGCCTCTCGCCTTGTATTCACTTGCTGTTCATTGTCAGCTGATAGAGAATCCAGTGCATGTTTTATTTTCTCGAACCCCCTATACAGAGCATCAAAATATGCTAACCATCGTGTGTCAGACAGATGCTTGAGCACAAAATCCTTTCCTAGAGATAATGTCAGTACATTCCAGCAATGAATAGAACTAGCAAAAATGAATACAGATGCTGAACAAAGTCAAAGTATGTTCCAGTTTGTAGACAATACTCTGTTGTTTTTACTTTCACCAAGGTCAGGCTGTGTCCAACACAGGGGACATAGATGGCGAACTCATTGAGCTGATGAATCCGTGCATGCAATCCAGTATATTATCCAGACATATTTGAGGCATTATCTTATGACTGACAACGGCAGTTTGATAGTGGAATTTTGTTCACATTAAGAAAATCAACAACAATGTTGTATCCTTTGCTCCATGAGAAAAGATAAGGATGGACACTATGAAACTTTCCACAGACTCACAGCCTTTAATGTATCGAACAGTAAATGTCAGGTTGATCTGTATGTGAGATGTCTGGAGTGAAATCTACACTTATTGAATCGGTTTCGACAAAAAAAAAAAAAAAAAGAGAGAAAGTGAAAGAAAAGAAGAATAAAGAAATATCACCAACGCTAGAGTTTTATAACAATAAAAATCATTTATTTACAAAAGTAAATATATATAATATATTGCAATTAAACATTCAAAACAATGTCGTTTCAGTCTAGGAAAAATTTAAGAATGAAAGCAAACTAGAGAAAAAATAAAACATAATATTATCTCCAACAGAAAGTCTTGGTCACAAATATTAATGGATAAAAATGTGAGTTCTACCGGCGAGTCTGTGCTAGGACTGCGCGAAGACTGACCGTCGGGAGTCAGGGTGAGTTCTTTGATAGCGAAATTGTCTGCAAGTGAACTGAACTGGCGAAACAAACTAGCCCTTCCATTTAAATAGACGGATGACCTCTTTGAAGATTATCCTCGACATTTCCAGTTTCTTCTAAGTCAAAAGGGGACATTCTCCCATTTTCTTTTTTATTCGAGAACTAACTCAAATGAAATGGATCTTTCTATGTCATATATTTTCACCAATCGCAATACGCGTGGCTTGTGGCAATTTATATTTATAGTATTTCCTAAAAAAGGGCTTCTGTAACAAAAGTCATTTAACATACACAGATTAACATGGGGCTATGAGCTCGTGCCCCACCCCCTGGCAAATACCCATCGGGCCTATGCGTTAAAACGGCTCTGTCTCTGCAGCGCACTGCCTTCATATACCATTGCTTAGGCCTGAGCCATGAAGAAGTCACTCTTAACACCGAAAGACTGAATTTTGACTAAACAGGGCGCTACAGATAAACGCGAGATAAAACGGATGACTACTAATAAAGTGTTAGTGGGTAAAGAAAGACATACTATATAAATAATAACGCTCTTATTTATTCCTAAGTAAAATATTGTCAACTTGGTGACTGTTGTCTTCAGCGTAAAAATCAATAAAAATATCAGAAGGCAAAAAACACTACTGATCGTGTAATTCAACAGTACACTTGGGTTAAACGTGAATCGCGTCCAGCACAGATTTGGCGCCGATATTTAGATTTGGTGTGTAAACGGTTTTGATGAAAAAAAAAAAAGATTTAGGTTTTCGGAAATTTTCATTTACCAGAATTTAGGGTAAGATATTGTGGATATTGTAAGATATATACTCGGTATATTGATATTTTGAATATTTATAAAGCTCGGCTTAGTACCGTGACAAAAGTAAGGAAATGAGGATAGGAAATAAAGGTTGATTGTTTTTAAACAACAGTTTAGGTACCTTCATGAGATCGCTAAAAAGAGCATAGTATGATGAAAAAGACACCAAACTTGACGAAAACAAAATTTTATCGCCTGAATGTTTCTGTTATTATTAAGAGGAAAGAACAAAATATTTTTTAAAAACTACTAAGTAACATATAAAATTTTAGCGCGTTTTTTTTCTGTATGACAGACATTAATTTTGAAAATCTTGAAAAAATAAAAATAATTGTCGGATTTTAATGAAACTTTCAGAAACTATTCACAAATGATGGAACTTATTATAAATATCTTTTCCTTTTTTAAAGTCACGGCAATTTTTTTTCATATGTATTACCCCTCCCCATAACCAATTGTACGAAAACTCTATAATTTGAGAAACCAAATCATGTTTTTTTTTTTTTAGTTGGACCACCTCTTCCTGAAAATCATCTCTGAATTGTAACATACAAAACTCAATAAAACAAAAATATTATTTAATTTCAAAAGATTTTAATTGCTTTTATTTATTTTAATGAACATGGACAATATTGTCTGAAAGCAAAAAGATATTTCGATGAAAAATGAATTTTTAAAACAATTATTTGTTATTTCTAAAATATTTTATTATTTTTACACTAAATGTTGTTAATTCTTCTAAAATTAGGGAAAAGTTTGTACAATTTAAGGAATGCTGTTATTGAGTAGATATATATTTACAGATTATAATTTCCAAAGTTTCTTACAAACTAACGAACACCAGTATATAAAAAAATTAAATTTGTGTCAATAATACGACTGCAAATCAAATCTACGGAAGACCGGAAGTATCATGCCAGCAATTAAATAAAAAAGTCACGTGGATTGAGTTTCTGTCTAGTACTTAATTTAAATACTGAATTTTTAATACAGTTATTTTGTATTTCTTTAATTATAATGGGTTTTTACATTTAAGTTGTTAAAATATTTTAAAATTAGTTAAAAGCCGCATTCAGTTTCGTAAATGTCCTTTTGAGATAGATTTATTTTTGCGAAACACGTGTGGAGAAGTTAAGTTGATTTTTCAATTTCAATTGAGAAGGGTACCTACAAGTATCAGTATCATCTTATGAAATTAAATTTGTATTTTATGTACACTTCTGATAAAATTTCATAAGAAAGGTACCTATAAATTAATTAGATACCTTTCTTATGAAATTTAATCTCACTCTCAACAGTCTTATTTTAATTTCTTTATAATATATTTTCCATAAAGCACCGTAAACATAAAGGTGAAAGCTAAGTACAAAAAAATAAAAAAATAAAGCGCTGAAAGTTTTCCTTAAAAATAACGAGGTAAATAATTTGTTCACTTAAATCTAAATAATTTCACTTCTCTCCTTCCGTAGAATAAATTATCCTCATGTAAGCTATCAATACGCCATGAA